ATTGATGAAATTCATAAATGCACTTATAATCGTTGTGGTTCAATAGTTTTTAGTATTTCATAAATTCTCACGAAGGTCATTTATATTTTGGCTTGGTGTGTTTGCCTCCATTTTGAGATTGCTTTTGTACTTGCGGGGATTTGATCATTGATGACAAAATATATAAATGGAACTTATTTTGTTCATGATTGTGGATTTTTTGTGTGAAATTAGCTTCCCTTTGCTTTGGATACTAATGCATATATTTGATTAGCAAAGATTAGCTCATTTCATATTTTTATCCCTTGAACATTGTATGGTTCCACATGCTTGATCATTTTTCCTTTTTCCTTGAATTGCATGATTTTGTTGATTGCAACCTTTTATTTTTAAGAAATTTATTTGTTTTGATTTTGTCTTTTTCAGAGTGCAATAAGTGAACTCTCCATTCTTTCTCAAATACGGTTGGAAATTCATCACTTGGACATGGATTCGGATTGCGCAAGTTCAATTGAGCAGTATTTTCTTTTACTCCTTATTTATTTTCCTTTTCTCACATTGAGGACAATGTGAAGTTTAAGTGTGGGGGAGGAAAGTATTGAACTTGCATTTACTTGCTAGGTGATGATATTTTGTGGATTTAAATGCTTAGAAATGTTGGAATTGTGTTTGAAATGCTTGCCATGTGGATAATTTGCTAGAAAATAGGTTTGTTGGCAGGGAGTTTTCTTCCATTTATAAGGAGAAACTCTGTAAAAATTTTTCTAAAATCTTTTTCAATATTTCGCTATAGCCCAAAATTTCTTCAAATTTTTGCATTTTCATTCAAAAAGGGCCAATTTGTTCCAACCTTAAGTGTTTAATTCTTCCAATTGTTGAAATGTTATATGTATTTTGGAAGGTTTAGTCCTCATTTAACTTGGAAATGTTTATTACGCAATTAGAATTTTTACATTTTAGAAAGTATATTTGGTAAAATGAGGAAAATTATGCCTATAATTTTACATGTTTAATGAGATTTCTTCTCTTTACTTAATTTTGCAAGTAAGTGATTGATATAGTCGATAAAGGTTTTATTCCTCCTTTGATTATTCTTATATATTTTCTAAGAGGGAATATCTATTTATTGTCCTTTATTTCTGAAAAAGAAAAAAAAAGTAGAAAAAAAAGAAAAAAAAAGAGAGAAAAGAAAAGAAAGTAAATAAAAATTGTTCTACTCCAATGATTCTCGTACCGAGTAACCGGGGGTTGGCATCTACAAATGTCGACATTCGCGTAAAAAGGTACTTGAATTAAGAGTATGCATGGCAACTTGAATAAGTGAAATGTTGAGTAACCGGGGATCTTCACCTAAAAGTGTCGATTTTCGCGTAAAAAGGCATTCTCACTATTTAAGTAAAATTTGTGTGAATAAATCCCTCTTAGTTATAGAATTTTCAGAAAAAGATGATTATAAGGAGGAGGAAGACTATAAATTGACTATGTGATTTGCTTATTTGTAAAATTAAGTTAGGGTAAGAGATTAAGTTTAACTTGTTGAATTTAGGGTATAATTATCTTTCCTTTACTTGATATTATGAGTATTTAGTGTAAATTGAATAATTGTATAATGATTATTTTCCATGTCTTGAGGAATTAAATTGGACAAAGTGCATATATTATTTCACCTCTTGAATCATTGTAGTTGATTATGTATGGATTGCTTGAGGACAAGCAATGATTCAAGTGTGGGGGAGTTTGATAAGTGACTAATTTACGTAATAATTGTATGATATTTTATATTATTTTTAGTCACTTTGGTTATATTATTGGAAGAATATGAATCATTTTGGCTATAATTGGTGAAAAATGCTTTTAAGTGATTAAATGAGGTTTTTATCATTTTTTAGTGGGATTTTGTGTATTTTGACAGTTTTGACACATTTTCGTATTTCGGCTATAACTTGAGCTACAATGATCAGATTGAGATGATTCTTGAACCAATTTGAAGATAAGAGATAGATCTACAACTTTGGTGAAGACATCTAAATCCAGTTTGAAGGTTTTCAAAATCAAAAAGCCGAATTACATTAGCTAATTTCTGTTGGTCGAAGCTGAAACAGGGCAATGAGCAGGTAAGGGTATTTCGGTCATTTCTCAGCCTACACAGATCCAAATGAGGTGATTCTTGATGCATTGGAAAGCTAACTCAAAGGGTTACAAGTTTTATGTTTTGGTCAAGAGCTAAATCAGCTTTTATCATCATGAAAAGTTCAGTTGAAGTTGAGTCAAAATCGGAGCAGAGCTGGAAATTGAACCAGAAGTGACCAAATGGTCACTGTAGCAATCCGGCCGGAATTTGGCCGGATTTGTGGCCGGATTCCTGGCCGGATTGTGGTCAGAAAAGGCTGCTTTGTACGCGTAAAACTCAATTTCACCTTCACCAACTCACATGTGATGCTATACATGTGAGAAACATTCCCAACTGTAAAAGGGAGATGTAATCCTCATTTCTTGACCATATTTCATCATAAAATAGCCAAGATTGCAAGATTGAAGGGGATCCAATAATAGAGAGCAAAAAGGAGATGGAGTTCATAGCAGAAAAATAGGGAGGACATACGGGAGAGAACTTGAAGTGCAGAAATGTAGTTCTTTCATTTCCTTAGTGTAGTAAGTGTAGTTAATCCATTCTTGTATAATAGCTAGATTAGGATGAAGATGGAGATAAAGAAGGAGGAGTTGAAGCTCAAGTGACATGGGTTATCTCTACTCCAATTCTTTATCTTTTGTATTGGATTCTTAACTATGGTTATAATGCAAGTTCTGGAATTTATGTTTATTATTTGTTTCTAAAGTTTATGCCTTGGGTTTGGTTGAACTTCCTATGATTGTTAGTGTTTATTATTTGGCTATTTGATTGCTAGTATTTGAGCAAGTTATTTAGCACTTTAGCTCTTTAAATCATGATTAATCTGGTACCATTAATTGTGATTATCTAAGGTGTTATTTCTGCAATGAAAATTGAGATTTAACATTAGTTTAATAAGTGCTAAACATGGGGAGTACACTCACGAGAGTAGAGGTGCACCTATGGGGTTTTGGTGATTAATTTCATGTAATTTCATTGAAAAAATAAACTTGTAGCTAATTTCATAACCATGAGAATAGGTATGGATTAGTTATGAGTATAATTGATTCACTACGAAAGTAGGATTCAAATGCATAAGGAAATTACACCATAACTAGCTTAGATGTAGTACTCAATGATCCAAAAATAGCACTTGCATGAGTAGTTAGTGATACCACAACCTAAGGAGCTTTCATTTGTTATTTTCTTGCATAAGTTCAGTAGGTTTTACTTGTTATAATTTATTGATAGTCTAAATAATAGAGAAGCTTTAGTAATACCGGTAATTATTCACTCTTCCCTGTGGGATCGACCCGATATATACCCTAAACTACTAGTTGATCTGTATACTTGCAGTGAACGGGTGTAATTCGGTATTTTTTAGCTTGCACGTATGTAAAATACCCGTCACACTCCGAGCTGTCTGTTCGACCTTACACCTCAGCATGAAGTTTCCAACGCCCGATGGAGTGGCCGAGGTGCTGGGAGACCCGGAGATAGTTCGGGCCTGTTATATCGTAACTCTCAAGGATAAGGAGAAGCTGGTGGCCCAGGCAGCCTATCTGGAACCATGGGAGCCTGCTGAAAAGGAGAAGAGGTTGGAAACGGACGAGAGTCTGGTTGGATTGCCCATCTGCCCCGAACGACCCGACCGTGTGGTTAAGGCCGGGTCTGGCCTAAACGAGCTAACACGGAGAGCTCTGGAGTCTCTCCTGGAAGAATACGCCGAGATTTTTGCTTGGAGTGCTGACGACATGCCCGAAGTTCCTCCCGAACTGGCAGTTCATAAGTTGCACGTGGACTCGAACATCCGGCCAGTGAAGCAAAAGAAGAGAAACTTCGCGCCCGAACGCAACGAGGTCGTTAAAGAGGAGGTAGGCAAGCTGTTAGAGGCCAAAATTGTGAAGGAGGTCTACTATCCGACCTGCCTAGCCAACCCTGTGCTGGTCAAAAAGGAGGACAGGGTTTGGCGGATGTGCGTGGATTTCACCGACCTAAATAAAGCTTGTCCGAAGGATTGTTACCCTCCCCTTGCATCAACCAGCTGGTAGATTCGACTACCGGATACGAGATTTTTTGCTTTTTGGATGCCTTCAAAGGGTATCACCAGATAGCCCTGGATGAGGAGGATCAAGAGAAGACTGCCTTCATCACCGAGTACGGCACGTACTGTTATACCACCATGCCATTTGGGTTAAAGAATGCCGGCGCGACCTATCAGCGGCTGGTCAACAAGCTGTTCAGAAAACAGATCGGCCGAAACATGGAGGTATACGTAGATGACATGCTGGTGAAAAGCCGGACTCAGGAGCAGTTCATCAACAACCTCAGGGAGATCTTTAGCCTCCTACGGAGCTCGCTGATGCGGCTGAATCCCAAGAAGTGCACTTTCGGGGTTCGATCGGGCAAGTTCCTTGGGTACATGATATCCAAGGACGAAGTAAGAGCTAATCCCGACAAGGTAAAGGCTATCATGGACATGGCTCCTCTCCGAAACATAAAAGAAGTCCAGCGGCTAGCTGGCAGGATGGCGGCCCTAAACAGGTTCTTGTCGAAGTCTGCAGTTCGGGGTTTCCCTTTCTTCAAAGCCTTGCGAAGAGGTCCCCAATTTGAATGGACCCCCGAGTGCCAGCGAGCGTTTGACGAACTAAAAATCCACATCGCTCAGTTGCCAGCCTGAACCTCTCCCACGCAAGGAGAAACCTTATTTATCTATCTGGCAGTAGGGGAGGAGGCAGTCAGTGCGGTGCTAGTTCGGGAAGAGGGCAAAATCCAGAGGCCTGTATACTATGTCAGCCGAGCTCTGCAGGGCGCGGAGCCAAGGTATACCTCGATTGAGCGGTATGTTCTGGCATTAGTTCACGCGGCCCGAAAGCTCAGGTCGTATTTTCAAACTCACCCCGTGGTAGTAATGACCGATCAGCCTCTCAAGCAAATTCTTTCAAAGCCTGAGGCATCGGGAAGAATGGTGAGGTGGGCCGTGGAACTGTCCGAGTACGACCTCAGCTTCCAACCCCGCACGGCCATTAAGGCCCAAGCATTGGCAGATTTCATAGCCGAAGGAGTCTCCTTCGGACAGCAGGAATCGCAGGACGAGCTGACCAGAGACACAGCTAAGGCCGAGCGGGCCGGAGAAGCTGCCGAGGTCGCGCAGGCCGCCAAGTCCGAACTGATCCAAGACGCAGCTGAGACCAGGCAGGCCGGAGAAGCTGCCGAGGTCACGCAAGCCACTAAGACTTCCAAGGCCGAACAGACCATAGACGCAGCCGAGGCCAAGCAGGGCGGAGAGCCTGCCGAGGTGATACAGGCCACAAAGGAAGCCAAGGCCGAGCTGATCGGAAACACAGCGGAGGCCGAACAGGCCAGAAATGCTGTGGAGGCCGAACAAGCCAGAAATGCTGTGGAGGTCGAACAGGCCGCCGGAAAGGTAGGTCAGTCCATTCCGACCTGGACACTGTTCGTGGATAGGTCGTCGAGCAAGGAAAGATGCAGAGCGGGACTTCTATTGACCAGCCCCATGGGGGATGAATTGGCCTACGCCCTGAGATTTGATTTCAGGGCCTCCAACAACGAGTCCGAATACGAGACCCTGGTCGCGGGGATGATGATAGCTCGAAAGTTGGGGGCCGAATCAATAGAAGTCTACAGCGACTCGCAACTGATAGTAAATCAAGTAGGGGGAAGTTATGAAGTTAAAGAGGAGCCACTAAGAAAGTACGTCGCCAAAGTGCATGAGTTGAGAGCTCAGTTCAAACTGTTCACGCTCAAGCAGGTCCCGCGAAACCGAAATAAGAGGGCAGACGCACTGTCCAAGCTAGCCTCCACCTCAGTGGGCACGTTGAACAAAGAGGTCTTGATGGAGGTCGTCAGGAATCGGGCGTATGATCAGGTAGACGCGGCCGTTATTCAAGTAATGAGCTCATGGATGGATCCCATCGTGTGGTACTTAGCTAAAGGACTCAAGCCGGGTGGAGGCACGTAGGGTCCTCCTCAAGTCACGGGGATACGAGCTCTCGGGTGGGGTACTTTACAAGAAATCCTACCTGCGTCCATGGCTGAGGTGCATAACTCCGGAGGAGGGAGACTACATCCTGCGTGAGCTGCATGAGGGTATCTGTGGGAACCACGTCGGTCCGAGGGTTTTGGCCAAAAAAGGAATGCTGTCTGGATATTACTGGCCCACCATCTTCCTGGACTCGGCCGAGCTGGTAGCACGGTGCAAGTCATGCCAACTCCATGCTCCGATCCATCATGCCCCAACTCAGGAGATGATCCATCTTTAGAGCCCTTGGCCCTTCTTCTAATGGGAGATAGACCTATTGGGTCCGTTTCCCCGAGCTCCTGGGGGCTATGAACACGTAGTGGTGGCTGTGGATTATTTCACCAAGTGGGTGGAGGCCGAGCCCCTAGCCACCATTAGCAGCAGATCAGTCCAGAATTTTCTTTGGAGAAACATCGTCTGTCGATTTGGTATACTTCGGGTCCTGGTCTCAGACAACGGACGACAGTTCGCTGACAGTTCTCTCCAAGGCTGGTGCGCGGAGCTTGGAATCCGGCAGCACTTCACCTCGGTAGGTCATCCTCAAGCCAATGGACAGGTCGAGAACGTCAACAGGACAATCCTGCACGGCTTGAAGATGCGAATGGAGTCCGCCCGAACTGGGTGGCTGGACGAGCTGCCTACCATACTGTGGGCTTACCGAACCACTCCCCGAACTGCCACCCAGGAGATTCCTTTCGCTCTTACCTACGGGGCAGAGGCTGTGATTCCTGCCGAGATAGGTGTCCCTTCAGACAGAGTCCAGAATTTCATAGCTCTGGACAATGAGGACGAGCTACGTCTTAACTTGGATCTGCTAGAGGGAAGGAGAGAAGAAGCGGCCATACGTATGGCTAAGTACAAAGGACAGATCGCGCGACACTACAATGTTAGGGTAAGGCCTCTATCCTTCAAACCAGGAGACCTGGTCTTGAGGAAGAATAGCGTGAGTCGGCTTCAAGGCACGGGCAAGTTGGGCCCAAATTGGGAAGGTCCCTATGTGGTGAAAGAGGCAAATCGAGCTGGATACTGCAAGTTAACCCACCTCAGCGGGGAGGAGGTCCCGCGTACCTGGCACAATTCCAACTTGAGGATTTTCCATTAAGCTCGCACATGACAGCTCGTTTCAAGGTCAAGACTTTTTATCGATGTATTTGGTTAATAAATTATTTTGTCGTAGGGGATAGCTCATTTAGATCGGCACTAGGCCGAACTGATGTATCCTGAAATTATGACAAGAAATTTTACAAATGCGACTAAGTATGAAACAAAGGAAAGGTTCTTCATTCCATTCAATAAAACTGTACAAGAAGCCGAGCTCGTACAAAAGGAACTAAGCCAAGAAATGGCAGAGCTCATACAAAACGAACTGCCTACTGACAGTTCGGATTCTACTCTAAGGCCCTACTCTAGTTCTCCCCCTCTTCCTCCTCTTGTTCGGATTCGGGGGTGGTCACTGGCAGTTGGGGGTCAGGAACTAGGTCGGCCAGCTTTCGCCCGCGCGAGTAACCCTTCACCAGGCGGTCAATCTGTTCCATAGCCTGGGGGTTGTAGCCGGGAAACTTCTCCAGGTCGAAGCCGGGTAGGCCCAACTCTTGCACTTTCTTCAGGGCCTGGGAATAGCCATGTTGCAGCATGGGTGTATTCAGGATTGCCAGGTCGTTCGTGAAGTCCTCCGACCTAAGGAAGGTCCGTACACCCTCGTGACGTCCTTCGGCCCTAGCCGCATCTACCTGAGTAAATAGCTCGGCACTCTTTTGCTGCTCCTCTTTCAGCTGAGAGGTCAGCTCGGAATTCTTCTTCAGCTCCAGCTCGAAGTTTGAATGGACTTGTGCGAGCTGCTTCTTCAGGCCCTCCGCTTCGGCCACAGCTGCTTCGTTCTGGCTGAGCAGTTTCTCGTTGGCCGCTTTCGTTTCGCTCATCAGGGGGAGCAGGCTCTCGTAGCGTTTGGCCAGCTCGGACCCAACCACGTTCGTCTGAGCCGTGCCTGTGTAGTAATAGTCAAGGAGGTCGGACGAATCCATGGCCTTAACCAAGTTGTAGTCCCGTGGGAGGATGGCCCCATGAGCGAGCTCCTGGGCCACATCGGGGAATTGTGCTCGGTCATTTATGGATAGCTTCCACTGAGGGCAGAAGTGCATGGGGTGTTGGTGCGTAACCAGCCGAGTCTGGGGGTCGAAGAGTAGGGTAGAGCTCTGGCGCTGCCACAAATTAGGGGGAGCTTCAGCCCGGGCCTGTTCCTCGGCGGTGTTCACGCCGTAGTGGCCGCCTTGAGCAGGCTCAGGCGTTGGCCTCTCCTCCCGAGCTGGAGACGAGGTCGTTTCCACCCTCGCTCTCTTGGCAGTGGTCTTCTTCTTCTTCTTTTTCTTCTCAACAGCCTTGGAGGACTGGGCAAGAGCCGGCTGAGGTGTTGGGACTGGCAACGAGCTGGCTGGGATGGCTGAGGGGGTCTGAGTGGCAGCGCCCGGACTGCTGGTGCCACCGATGGTCAGCAGTTGTGAAAACCTCTTCACTGCACAAATATAAGTCCAGGAGGTCAGTGGTCGTATGCTTTAAAAAAAAAAGAAAAAAAAAAGAAAATGGAAGTGCAAGATGATTACAGGTGGTCAGCTCATTTGGGGAGAGGGGTCTGCTCTCCGGGGAGGGATCCGAGGGGCTAGCTCGGATCAGTCCCGTTACCCAAAGCAGGTCATTGCTGAACTCTTTCACGTCCATCTTCACGTCCGAACTGAGTAGGCGGCTAAGCTCGGACACTAGGAGCAGGGGCGGAAGGGGATCTGAGACTTGAGTCTCTGCTCTCCAGGTTAGGGGAGGAAAACCTAGGTTCTTCACGAAAAAGAACTGAGGCTTCCAGTCCTTGATAGAGGAAGGTGCCCCCGTGAACAGCTCGCGGGTGGGGGTTTTCGCTCCACTTCGGTGGGCAAAGTAGAACCACCCAGGCACCTTTCTGCTGATTTTCTTCTGGAAAAAGCCTATGATGGAGCGAACAGCATTGGGAATAACCTGAGTTATGCGGATACCCCAGAAGGTGAGGATAAAGAAGAGGAAATTGGGGATAGGCAGGCGGAGACTAGCCATCAGTTGGTCCCTGTAGATCGCCACGAAACCGGGAGGAGGTCGGCTGGCGACCTCCTCCGGACGGGCTGCCCTAGGCTCGAATTGGGCTGGGATTTCATATTTTTCCGCCAGCTCGTCAACATCTTTTTGCTCCAGGGCTGGGGGAATAGTGTCGACCTCCCCAAAGTCGCCACTTGGCCCCCTCAAGGTCCCTACTGCCGTCTGATCTGGAGCTGCCTGTTCAACAGCTCCGACTAGAGGTTGGGCAGGTCGCTCGACCGGGCTCATTATTCTAACAGGAGACAAGACGGGAGAGGCTATGAGTTCTGGCCCAAATGAAATAGAAGGAGAAGAGCTAAAGGAATCTGAAGAGCTGCTATCTACGAGTATGGGGCTAGCTGTTCTATGCCTAGGGGCTGAATTGGTGACGTCAGAACTATCGGAACTATAAGAAGACATAAAAAGGAAAGGGGAACTTACTGGTGAAAGGAGGAGATCGGATGAAGGGCTGATCTAAGGAGTGCGCGAACTGACTCTGGGCTCTTAAAGCAGGGCGACCCGACGTGATCTTGAGGAAAAAAGGAAGAAGCGGCGAACTAGGGATTGAAGGAGCGAACTGATAAAGTGAAGGAGGAGGAGTGAAAATGACGCCCAAGAGGCCTATTTACAGGTGATCCTCAGGGCGGGAAAAACGAAGGGGCGCGCATTTATTCGAACCGTTCCTAACCGCCATAACTGATCGAGGCGACGGTTGAGGTGACAGACACGAACTGATGCGACGGTTGCTTGCACCACTCCCAGACGGGGGCCCCACGTCGAGCTGACACGGCGCCCTGCAATTCGGCCTAGATTCAAGCGCACGATCGATGACTCTAGACTAGAGGGGGGGCTAGTGTAGTGGGGCCCATGTGCACATCGGCCTGGCCCGCGAGCTCGGACAGGAGGAGGGGCTCGGCCCTGCAGGTCAGCTCGGAGGCCCATGAGGGTACGGCCTCCCCGAGCGGATGGGCCGCATGGGCTGCAGAGTCCAAGCTCGTCGTAACTGGATCGTGGAGCCCTAGGGAGAGTTCTTCTCCAACAAGGACTCCATGTTTTACTAGGAAACTACTACCTATGGCCCTATAAATACCACGCGTGGGGAAAACACAAGGTACGCCATTCTTAGCACAAAGAGTATATTGCTTTTATTTCCGAAATCTCTTCTGACTTGGTCGTCGGAGTTGCTCCAGAGGAATTAGCCTCGCAGCTCGTTCACATACAGGTCGGACGCCTCACCAGCTCACTCTCCAGGCCACAGCCCAGCTCGGATCTTCACTTCGGCAGTCGCATCAATTTGTTTCTTGGCCTTGCTCTCCTCATTGTTTTCACGACTGCTATTACCCCGTCCACCGTCGCACTTGACACGATTGCATTACCTGTAGCTTCAGCTACGATTTTTGGTCGCTTGTATTGCACTAATACGGGGAATCTTTTACCTATTGGCATTACTCCTCCTCTATCTGGAGCCAATGTCTCGATCACTCGCAATCTTGCTGGTACCAGTACCACTACCATTGCCAGTACTGTGGCAACTACAGCCACAAATGCCAATGGGTTCTTCAAACTCACCCTATAAGGAGCTCAACCGACAACGGCTCTGGTGTCACGGCCGCGACCACATTTCTTTCCACTTGCTCAGTCGCTGTCCGGCTTCCAATCGGACAATGGTCAGCTCTGCCACGGGGTGGGCTCCTCAGAGCACCCATTTCACCCGTTGCTATCTCCCCTTCGGCAGATGCTATTGCTTAACACTGATGTAATTTGTTACAAAGCTTACAGACAAGGAAATCGAATTAACCAAGGGGAATGTAAGTAAGTTATTGTTGTACTAATAATATATTGTACTAAAATTATATTTCAGAGTAGGTATTTTTTACCACATAAATATATGTGGGAAGAGAGAATATAATCATATATACAGACAAAAATTTAACCAAATTTTATTTATTTATAACTCCACAAAAAATAATGAACAATTCGTAGGCTTTCTTTTTTAGCTCACGGAGTTTCACAGTTTCCTCCAAAAAAAAAAAACTATTCAGCTTTTAACTTTCAAGAAACATAGCTCCACACGCCAAATTATATCAACCAGTGGATATACTAGAACTTCCTGGTTTGAATTAATTAAAAGGCAACTACCAAAATAAACAGGAACATGGGCTATGATCCCATGTACTCAGCAAAATAAACCCAATCACGCAACCACTAACAATAAATATGTAACTTAATTTGATAAATTAATTTAGATTGGTTTAAATATGTAATTTAATAATGTCTTACTTTAGATTAATCTTTTCATTCCATCGAAAATTCTCTTCTAGATGATATGCGATTGCATCTTAGTTAGAAAAACGATCGAGTTGAAACTAAGACTGAGAAAATAGTTAGAAAATATGAGCTTAGACTTTCTCCCCCCGCCCCTAATACATTAATAACTGATCTTATTTGAAGTTCCATGAAGTAAAGCTAACTGAAATTTACTCACGAACTTCTTTGAATGTCTATGTGAACTAACTGCGATCAAAATCTAATTAGCTTTAGTTGCATTCTTCGTTCTTCACTTTCACAAAACTCTTTGAGAATGATATAATGGAGAAGGCTCGCATGACATGGTGTAAAATAGAGCAAATTGTTGTAGGGAAGTGAAGGCTACAACCTGTATAGCAGTACTAAAATTATTTCACAAAAGAAAATTCTGATCTTGTGACTGTAGGAATTACATATAATTCATAAATTTACACAACCGAAATTTTTGCCTTACCAAAAAGGGGGAATGAATCTCTCATTTTGATCTTTTTTTTTTTTAATCAATCAGAAAGATCTTTCACATCCCACCGTCCACCATTCTGAGCATAGTATGAGCGTTTTAATGGCACATGTTGCACAAGATGATAAAGACTGCCACCATTTTTCTCGAGCATGGAGACAAAATTTTCTGGCATATCATACAAATGAATCTCCTTGAGTCGGCTGAGGTCATCTATACCTACTGGAATCTGCCCTAACTGA